GTAACCAAGTGTTAACTTGGAAAGCTGTAAGCCCTTTGGGCACTTATTTTTGTTGTTTAGAAGTTAGAGTTACATGCTATAGTTTCAAGTTAAATGTTTATGAAAATGTAATGCATGTAATATCTTTTGTAAAGGAAACTCTGATGAATGAAGAGATGATGTTTCCCCTATGTTTATGACAATTTGTGAATGGTTATCTTGTACTTTTTTGAGGGCGTCACACGGTAACCTCTCAAGCTTTATTTCTAACTGTGTAGGTTTTATTCCAACAGATACATTAAGCAAAATAATACCGTTAATGTCCAAGAAAATATCATTTTCTTTCCATACTCATTCTCCAAGCATTATTCAATTGTGACATCCTATTTTGGGGCACACCTTTTGAGGGCACGACTTTTGAGGGCTCGATATCTACATCCATGTATATCTTTTGGGCAGCCTATATACACACTCATACAGTGTCTTCTACACCGGTCAGCTTTATCAATCCCTTTGTTTCAAACCTCAAATAGGTTTCTCTCTTCACACCTATTTGAGTTTGATGGGGGGTTATACACAGTATCATGTATAAGTCGCTCATGGCGCACTCCCTAAGTCGCCCCCTTGGTGCACCACCACAACCTCTGCTACAACGGTCCGACATGACCCCGTAAACTGTCTGCTACATCGGTCTGACACGACCATACCGTGTCTCCTATCCTGTTTTATTTGTCAGTTTATATTTTTCTGTTTTGTTACTCTCTTCAAACTCAAGTTGGTTAGTTCCTATCCTCCTTGAGTTTGAGGGGGGCTGTTAATGTAAATTGTAAATTGTGTAAATTACCCCACCACCAACTCCACCTACCATCTCCACTACCACCCACCACCTCCACTACCATCCACTACCACCACTCACCTACCTCACCTACTCCCAAATCCTCTCCTATATAATAGCTTGTAATATACATTAATTAATACAACATAAATCAATCAATAATACACAATTTATTCTCTCTTTCTCTATCAATTTATCTAACATACTATTTTAATAGAAGGAAATACATCCATCGGGCTTTTCTTATTTTATTATTCGGTGACAGACAATTATAAAAACAAAGAGGAAAAAAAGATCCGCATCAAATTCCGTGCTAGTCCCACTATACGAGGTTACAATCTTTCTTTATATTTTATCACCTAAAAGGGGTAACAACTATAAGCACAGAACAAGGTGAGAGATATTATGCCAAGAGCGTGGGGTTCAAAATAACCATGGATAGTATTTAAGTTAAAACATTATTCAAACTTAATTTGAATAAATAAAGTATGAAAGTGGCAGAAACTGAAATCTAGAAGTTATGTAAACAAATAATCATAGCCATGGTATAGAACAGAACAGAGGTCACTGGAGTGACAATTAGAACAGGGGTCGATGGATCCATGACAAATAGAAGGGCACAAAGTGACCAATTAGAGACTAATGGTAATTTAAGTCTCCCAAAGTGTGGGGCTCCCGTGGTAGTACTCACAAAAATAAATATTTATATAAACATTGCCAAATAATTTCTAACCTTGTCAAATAATTTCTAAAATTTAAACAATCATATTCATTGGTTTCAATTTAAGCAATAGAGTTCAAAAAATAATTAACGTAATTGAAATATTAATATAATTTATAGAACGTGAATTGCATAAAATAAATTATGGTAACTTGTAAAATATGTTATACTGATTCAAGATATAATATAACTCACCTAAATATTGTTTTCCCAAATTTGTTTTTCTTTTCCTTCCCTGATTCCCGTTGTATGGTTGCTCCCAAATGTTTCTTTTCTTTGTTTGCTATCTTAGTGAGTTCTTGTGGTGAGATCTGCGATACGTTGCTCCCAAACCTTTTTGACATCTACTTGGTCCAAATCATCCCAATCAATTCTTATCTTGTTTGTAATTATAACCCTTGCACAGGTTGCTAAGTTTGGAGATGTACAGCAATCTTGCCACCTTTCACCTAAATTCCTTTTTGGCCCGACTAACTTTTTTTTTTTGTTTTTGGGTTACATACGATAACCCCTAACTGAATATAAATTATATTTTAGCACCTCCAATTATAAAATTTAAATATTTTATTTTATATTATTTTATATATTTGTTTATTTTTATTTTTTATTTTTTTGATAAATTATTTGTTTATTTTTATTACATTAATTAAACATTTGGGGTGTCACACATGTACGGTTAATAAAGCTAGCGAAAATTGAAAGTAGAGGGCCTAAAGTGAAGTTTTGGTGAAACCGTAAGAACTAAAGTGAGATTTTAGTAAAAGTGTAAGGTGTTGATGAGACAGCAAAAATGTCACATATGTTTCAAATGACAAGTTCTGTCAACTTTGTTAACGGGGAGATGAATGGAAGGGTAAAATTGTAACTTAATGGGTGGGGAGTTGACTGTTACAATTGAAAGTGAATGGACTAAAGTGACATTTTAGTAAAAATGTATGAGTATGAAGTGTTATTAATCTTTTCTATTTCTTTCTGTTTTTTCATGAAATGAGTGGGAAGAGCTAAAAAGTAAAGGGCTCGTTTGGTTTGATTTTCTGAAAAAATTTTGGGAAATTTTCTCTACAAACAAGTTTTCAAAAATAATCAAACCAAACAAATTTTCCCAAAAAAATTTCTCAAAACTTGTAAACCAAACAAGTTTTCCAAACAAATCTCTCTCTCACACATATCAAATCAATCACTTTTTCCAAAACTCTATCTCAAAATAATTTTCCAAAACATCTTTTAAAAAAAACCAAACCAAACATGTTTTCGTACTTTTTATCTCTAAAACACATCTCTCAAACACAAACCAAACATACCCAAAATGTCTTCAATGTGCTTGCGTCTTCTGTACCGGATGATGAAGCTTTGTTGAAAGTGTTTGCCCCCTCAAAGGAAGTCAAGGAACATGAGGTAATCCCAATGAGGTGGTTTCAAACAAAGAGAGAGGATTAGAAGGAGATGGGGTAATCAAAATGGGCTAGATCTTCCTAGATCTTCATGTCTTAAAGGGCTCGACAGAACTTTATAGATGGGAAATTGGTTGTTCCATGGTCAAATCCATCTTTAAGAACAAAAACAAGAACAAGCTCCTTGATCGAATTGCAAATCTTAAGCTTGCTAGAGAGAATGCTAAATGGTTTTGTTGGTTGGTTAAATTTTGCTAGTCGTATTAGTAGTTGTCGTTAAAGCAAGGTTTGGACTGATGAATTTCAAATCAAGGTATTTCATGTTGGATTTTATGAAGCTAAAGGAGATTAAGCAATTATAGGTGGATTGAGAAAATAAAAGGGAGATAAACTAGAGATGGAAGAGAAGTATTTTGTTTTAGGATCCAACTAGAACCCTTAGCATGACGAATTTCAAATCATTACTTTTACATTGTCATTTCAAATTAATATTGACAAAGCTCCTAAATTCAATCTTGAAATCCATATTTAAATTTTCAAGTGCAAATTTGAATTATTCTTCTTTGAATGAATATTGCAAGCTCCTTTCATCAAATCCTTAAGTCCAAACATAACCTAAATGTCAATCAAAGTTTAGCCTCATTCTGGAAATTGGAAAACATTTAGTTTTGACTGAGATGTAGTTACAAAATGAGTGTATTGATGCTATTAAAAGAGGCATAAATCCTTGTGATAGAAATGATGATTACACAAAACATTTTTTTTATTTTTCACTTTTGAGATTCACAGATTTCTTATTCTATTGAGCATGGATATACTACTTTGTGTTCAATACTACTGTTTTGAACAGAATCTACTCTTGCATGGCTCTAAAGAAAGCCAGTTCCTTTTGGTTGCCTGGAACCTAAGAGAACAGGAATGGAAAGTTTTTCTTGTCCTTTAAATGTCCTTTGTTGCCATGATCCTTCACCAGCAAGGGAAATGATAAAAGAAAGGAAAAGGCTAACCTCATCTTGGGTAGAGAGTTGGATTGGCAGAGTAGAATGGGGTTAAACCAACTGGCGCTGGCTTCGTTGGCCAGAACCTCTCAGCTAGGAGGTCAAGAATTTGAGTCTCCCTTCTCAGGCTGTGATGTACCCCCCAAACAAAAAGAGTAGAATGGGTTTCCATATTCTAGGTATCCCAAAAATAAGAAATTTTGTGATTCTGTGTCAATATGTTTCATATATTATAATTTTCTTATGATTATAGTTTGATATACATATCAGGGAACTCTTCTTCGAATAAACCCTTCTTTCTGTAATTCAATTTGAATCCTAAAAATATCATATTTTGTCAATATGTTTCATATATTATAATTTTCTTATGATTATAGTTTGATATACATATCAGGGAACTCTTCATCGAATAAACCCTTCTTTCTGTAATTCAATTTGAATCCTCAGAAAAGAATATCATATTTTGTTTTGTTGTACTTTTCTCATAACCAAAATGAAGCATTAATAAATTTTAATTAAGAATCACTAAATTTTGTTTGTCTGTGTTCTTCATTGACATCGTTGTCAAATATAGCAAGCATTATATTCCATCATGATCGATATATTTTGGTCACTTGATTGTCGTATTTCAGGTAGTGGAGGCTAGTTCACACTGCACCGGTCATTTTGGTTACAAGACCTCAACCCGTAAGTCAACATCAGGCTTTGCAACTTCGACAATTATTTGAAATGATTTAGTTATATCAATCAAATGCTTATTATATAATCAATTAAAAGAAAGGGAAGAAGCATATTCTATTATTTTGATATTGCTATTAAACTAGGTTGTAATTCTGACAATGACTATATGATTTGGAGCAAAGTTTTCAAAGGCTTTACTGAGGCTCACCTGCAAGATTAAGGCAAAATGCATCAAGGCTTTGATTTTTAGGCTACTATCTCTAAAGGCTTGTGCATCATAATTTGAGGCATGCGCTTTAGGTGCGCCTTGTATGCATATGAAGTGGTTGCCTTAGACTCTTGTTAAACTTAGTTTAGTAGATAGTTTAAACATCAAAAAGCTAAAAAAAAAAAAAAAAAAAAAAAAAAAAAAAAAAAAAAACCCTTTTGTGACTATATTCTATAGAAAAAAACTAAAAAATGAACAATGAACAAAAATTACAAAGTTAATGATTAAATGAGAAGCTCAATCACTAAAGTTAAGAATATCAATTTCACTTTCAATGAAGGCAAGCTTCATTCTCTACAGTGAAATGTCCAATGCCTTAACGAGAAAAGTATTTATACCTTTATATTTATTTTATATTTTTATTTGTTCACTATTTCAAAATATTTAATTTATTTACTAAATATTAAAATTTGAAATTTGAAAATGCTTATGCCTTGACACCTTATGGCTTATGGCTCGCCTCATGAGGGGTAAAATGCCTTGTGTTATGCAAATGCCTTGCCTTTAAAAACTTTGATTTGGAGACACGATAACAATTTCTACACTTGGTAATATAATGGGTTCATTCAAAATCCTGTGTCAATTTGCCATCAATTGTTACAAAAATACTTATGATCTAAGAAGCATGGATACGGACACGTGACACGACACGAGTACGACACGGACACGCTGACACGTTAATTTTCAAAAAATGTAGGACACGACACGTGAGGGACACGCATAAAATATGTAATTTTGTATATTTATTATATATTATATATATGAATATATCATTAAAAAGATAATAAAAAATACAATATGATACTAATTCCTATAAATTTATATAGTTTTTGTTTTATTATTGTATCTTAAGTTGTTTTGTTCAAACTTATAATTAATTTCACATATGTCTAATTGTTAGACACTTGTATTTAAGCGATGGACACGTATGTCCTTCAAGTGTCCAAAGAGTGTCCAAGTCTTTAAAAAAAATTTAAAAATAGGACACGTTTTGAAGAGTGTCGGACACGTGTCCTGAGAGTGTCCAAAGAGTATCGGTGTCCGACACGGATACGACACGAATACGTCACCTTCTTAGAAGTGTCCGTGCTTCTTAGCTTATGATGATAGAAACTTTTGAGAATCTATTTGACAAAGCTTACAACAGATTTTGGAATCCGGATCCTCTAGAGTGATTTTTCCTATAGTGATCTTAAGAGTGATTTTAGAGTGATTTTTGTACTGCTGAAATTTAATTATGCAAAAGTTGAGGGTACAATAGTACTAATAGTAATAGTCACTTTAAAAAAAAAATATCAGCCATACAATAAATTACTCTAAGAACACTCTAGAGGATCTGGACTCCAGATTTTGTGGGCAGCAAAGATAAATTAATGTAGTTTAATAAGAGCATCTCCAATGGACTCTTTAAACGAAGCATGTTAGTTATTTTAGCTTGTATTATCATATTTTAGTCCAAGGTTGTTAAGATCGGGATCCTACCTAGGATCGTTTTGGGGGTCTGTCGGATCGGATCGTAGGATTGTAAGATCCTACCAAAATGATAAAAAAACGCAATAATTTTTATATGAGTACGTAATAGTATCAAAATGTATATAGAATGACCCCCCCAAAAAAAGAAATATAGCAATTTAAGGTAGCATTCAAGCATTTTTTTCTCAAAAAAAGAAGTCAAAAACATAATAAAAGAATTTTTTTCTCCACCAGCATTTTTCCTCTGCCTCCCTTTTCCTGAACTAAAGGTTGACATTGTGTTGTGATGCTACTATGCTAGTTGTGTGTTGCAAACTGTGAAAATTAAAATAATTTTTTTCCGCAAAGTTCAGGGAAAAAGAACCAAAGAAGAACAGCAGCCGCAGCAAAGAAGAACCAAGAAAAATGAAAAGAAGAAGAAAAAAAAAGAAGAAGAAGAAAAAGACTCCGTTTAGTTTAGTTTAGTTTTAAAATCATGATTTGAGTGTAGAGTTGTGATTTAAATGTGGAGCTGTGAGTTGAGTTTTGAAAAAAGAAAATTCGTTGGGTTATGAATTTTGATTTTTTTTGAAATTATTATTTTTATTATTTAAAAATGTTTAAGAAAATTATATATTTTTTTATTTTATTTTTTTTAATATTTTAAACTCAAGTTCTGGTTTTTAGTTGCTCGTTTTGATCAGGACAACACAATCATTCATGCAAATATATATATATATATATATATATTTATAATTTTCAGTAGTGCCTGATATATAACAACTACAAAGATGAGAGAAGAGGAAAAAAGAAGTCGAGAGAAGAAAAAATGGTGATTTGAATTACATACGAGGAAGATTCGAAGAATCGAACATGTACAAGGAAGATTTGAAGAAGAGCAGCGAAGAAAAAGAAAAGGAAGAGTAGCGATGAAAAAGAAGAAACGAAGAAGACTGAAAAAAGCAAAAATAAAAAAATAAAAATAGAGAAGGAAGATTTGAAGAAGATGCATACTTGGTTACACAAAATCTAAAGCTTTAATGTCCAATTTCTCTTTCCCCTATTTCTCTTGCCCTAATTGCATCTCAAAGGATCAATTTTTTTTCTTCTTTTATCCTGACAAAGGCTTGTTTGACTTGAAGTTGCCAAAAAAACCCTATTAATCAGGATCACATGGAATCGCGATCCTATCGATCCCAATGATCCTGCTACGATCCTGTTATCGGCTCGATCCAGAATACGAGTTGGATTGAATGGTATATATTAGATCGTAGGATCGTACAATCCTATGATCCGGATCGTGATCTTAACAACCTTGTTTTTATCACTCCAATGAGCTAGCTATTGCAATAGTTATTTTAACAAAATTCTTCAATGTCAACTACATTTGAAGAGTCTTGGGAGGCTTTTTAAAGAGTTTGTGTATAAATAAGTAAAATAAAGAGTTGCGTTAGAGTACATAGATAAAAAATGAATTAGATAAAATAAAAAACATACGATTTTTATATTTTAGCTAGTAAAAAATAAAGAGTGTGGTTAAGTTTGTACTACCTTGGAGCTTAATGTTGCTGTTGTCTTCATATCTGTGAACAAGAAGGTGAAAACCTAAGTTTATTGGCTTAGATCCTTGAAAACATTTTGGACAAATTTTATAGGTAAAAAGCTATTTATATGCTTATTTAAGAATGCATTATGGAAGAGTTCAAGATCCAATAAAATGTAACTAGATCTTGCTTCTTCCCTCTATATGTCTTCTCGGAGTGATTCCAAATTGTGTTAGTTGATTATCCACTTGTATAAATCTTGCAGCTTATATGCCGCATCTGAGTCTCCTTTATGAGGATTTATCCGATGAGGAGAAGAAGAAAGCTCAAGAGAAAGCTAATGTCCTTGATGAGAGCATCGGCAACCTGAGTTTCGAGGTAACTCGCCTTGCCTTGTACGAAACAGACACGGAAGACAAAACTCTCAAATCCTGGAAGAAGATTGCTGAATGCAACCTTGATGCTAATTAGGTACATGAATGCTTCTATATTTGTAACTAGACTTGCTATTTGCTCTGATGCTAGTTATTGAAAATAATGGCAATTTGCCGAGCCCTCTTACTCTGTACTGTACTGTACTGATTTGGTTTTATCAACTAATTGGTGTAACTATATGTGTTTGCGTTCTTTTATGTTAATTTATCACTTTCAATTTTTGGTTGAGCCCTCTTAGTCTGTACTGTGCTGTTTTTGGGACTTAGTTAACAATTATGTTGCATATTGCTACGTAGCATGAAGAATAGTAGTAATTGTGTTCCTACTCTTGCTATTGGGTTTATAAACTCAACAAAATTAATGGTAGCCAATGTGTTGTATGCGTGCCTTGGGCCATCTTTGTTTGGGGGATTAGTTTAGGCGACATATGATGAAGTAAGGATGAGGGGCTGATGGGCAGGGAAGGGCTATAGAGGAGACGGAGAGGATAGGAATGAGGCTGAGGGGTGGTGCAGTTGGTGTGGGGATGATGGGCCGAGGGGTGGCGGGGTGTTAGGGATGGGCTGCCAGAAGTGGTGGCAGCAGTAGAGGCCATCGCACAAACATATTACGAATAAGAATAGAATTAGGAGTAAAATAAGTGCTCAAAGAGAAGAAAATTTCATGAATCATGAAGTAGACTTCAAAGATTCCAAAGAAACATGGTGGAGACTATTACGTTAGCAACCTTTGCCTACAAATTTGAAGGACATTTTATCATTCTTAGTGTCCATACTTTTAACGAAAGTTTGACACAATTTTTTCTCTCAAGATATTTCAATTGACTTTTAATCTTATCTTGCATGATTATTAGTCTTGTATGATCTGTCCATGATCAATGCTTGTAATAAGGTTGTTCACATGATGAGTTTTTTCTTTCTTTCTTTCTTTTTTTCTTTTCGTTTTATTTTTTCATTTACTTTTTTTATTTTTATTTTTATTTTTTTTGGGAACAAAAACATGATGGTGAGCTTTAGCTAGCTAGAAGATCAAACTTTTGAAAATTTTCATGTGAATTTAACCTTCATTATGATCATCACAAGGTTTGGATGCTAATATAACTCGTACTCAACATGACAACTTCCTCATTACTTCTCATCAATATTGAATAGCTAGGGTTCAAAAGTCAAGCCCTCCATATTCTCCTACATGTGGATGGCTGCTACGCTTTTATCTAGAAACATCAATCTTTCATTTAGATTCATTTCATATCATTTCTGTTTATATTATTAGTTTTGAGTTATTAAGGAAAGGAAAAAACAAAACAAAACAAAAATGTGGTTAGTAGTTTTAACTCTTCTAGATTCTCAAAAATAAAAAATAAAAAGTAAAAGTGGGGGACTAAGTCAAAAAGCTTTCCCTTATATTATGGTTTGTTTTGATAAGTGATTATTTTAGTTGGGTTTTAAAAAAGACGGGTTTTGAAGAATGATGTACAAAAAAAGTAGGTAAAATAGTTAATTTTTTTATATTGATTTTTTGACTTTTTAATTATTTTAGGTGTTTCTTAAAACACCTACATTTCAATTTGTGAGAGTGTTTAAAAAAAGTAATAAAAAAAAAATTAAAAAAAAGCAAAAAATATGCATGTTGGATTAAATATTTTATCTTACATTTTGAACTAATGGATTGAATACTTTCTTTCTTACATTACATTTCAATAGTTGTTTCAATTATTTGTGACTGTTGAAAAAAAATGCTTGAGAGATCAAATATTTCTTCTTACATTACATTTTAATTTTGTAGGATTGCTTTAAATGAAGTGCAAAATATATGTCTCGGGAGAATTAATATAACATAATTACAACATACATGGGAACTCGAAAAATCATTAGAAAAATATGATAAATTACATTTTTTTCCCTTACACTCTTCTTTCTTCCCTCTCCTTCCTTTCTCTTCCCCACAATCTACAATTGGTGACCATCTCTTCCCTAACCTCCTTAACCATTGGCTACTACTCTCTTACTCTTCCTAACTCCAACCTTCTCCCCCGCTACAATTTTTCCCACCTCAACCCTTTTCACAACACTCTAGTGACATCTTAGCTCCTCATTACCCAACTGCAACACCTTAGCCCCTCTTGGGAACTAGATCTTCAATATTATCCCTTTGCTACTCTACTCTCTCTCTCTCTCTCTCTCTCTCTCTATATATATATATATATATCATGATATCCATTACGGTGGTAGCAAATGAGAGAAGTAAGGTAAGGGAAAGGTTAGGGGGGGTTAGAGTAGCGGCGATGGCAACAATAGTTGGAAAAAGGGTTGGGGCTGTGTAGGGAGGGTTGGAAACGACAAGAGAGAGGGAGTGAAGGTGAGGTTACGGTTGGTAGTGGCTGGGAAGAGACGGGGAAGAGAGAGGAGAGGAAGGGAAAAGAGAGGAGTATAAGGGGTAAAAATGTAATTTTCTTTATATTTTTGTAATTATTTTTAACTTCTTATGTACATAGAAATTATCTTCGATTCTTCACTTTATTTATTTATTTGTAATTATTTTAGTTTTTTTATTTTTCTGCAATTCTCCTTTAAATCAAATACTTTCTTACACTAAATTTGAATAACAACATTCCACAATAATATTTATATAACTGATTTTATATGATAAATTAAAAATTTAACCTAAGATAAGTGGACAATTTTCTCATATTGTCCATTAAACATCCCAAAGTGCTAATTAAAAAATGAATAGACATACCAAGGCCGGCTGCCACTACTTTTATTATTCTCTTCTCTTATTATATTGTGGAACCATATTATTCAATTAGGAATCTTGTGTCTTTTTTATCCAAACGCACATGAGAAATATGAGTATTGTGTTTTGGCATTTTAGAAATATTTTATTCAAGTTTTTTTATTTTTTTTCCTATGCCTCATTTTTGGCAATTTTCTTAAATTTTTTACTAATAATAAAACTGTCGCTGAGGAATTTTGTTTTTATGTCAATTAATAACATATAATGTATATTATGTTATTTATATCATATTAAATATTGTAAAAAAATAAAATTCATTACATATAATATAAGTATAAAATTAATAATTAAGATGATAATACTATCATTTAAATTTAAAAAATGATTTACAAATAAAATTTTTATACATAAAATTGATACACAACAATATGACAATGCTATTTTTATAATTTTAAGTCAAAATAATTGCTTTTGCTTCGAAATGAAGGACACATAAAGTGGTTAATTGCACTATTTTATAATTTTTTGTATAAAAATTCAACTTGTATAATATTATCTTTTGAATGTTACTTAGGATTATTTTGGAAAAATGGTTAAAAGTCATCTTCCAACTTTTAATCCATTTTAAGTTGTATCATCTCTCACATTTTTAACTTATTTTTTGAAAAAAAATCAAAAAGTCAGCTTTTAACCATATTTCCAAAATAGGCCTTAATCTTATGAGCTTGCAATTTTTTGTGTGCTAGTTTGTGTTTATATCCTGAAAAGTATATTACTATATTTGTTTCAAATTGTTCATTTGTCATGAGAAATAAAAACTTAAAAATAATATATCATTGTGTCAAATTTACTATAAAAAATAAAAATCACAAAATAAAAGTGCCTACGTGTTTATAACATTCGATTATGAAATCAAACACAATTCTCTTATTTGGTTCATACCTATGTATTTGATGGGCTTTATTCTAATGTGATTTGTGATTTGTCTCTGATTCTCTAATCAAATTTTGTGCGTTTAGAATTTTCTCATCATTATATTTCATCTCCCTAGTGAAAGAAAATATGTAATGAACACCTGCATGACCTAACATCATGTAATTTAGCAAGAATTGATCAAGATTCATATGGGTAGAGATTTGATATGGGTGTGCATGCAGGGGATAGGCTTCCTCTAGGTCCACCGGCACTCATGATGTCGCCACAACTGGTGAACTTCGGCATGGTGAGGCCAGACCTAGTTCAAAAAAGGGATAGTAAGTACCATATCTCGTCCGATTCTCTTAGGAATTCAAGGGTGGAGATTGCAGAGCCACCACAGATCAATACACAGGCAAACTATTGGAAACACCAAGGGAAGGGCTTTGTTATTGTTGTCGAGCCAACTGAGATGAAGAAGATAGAATCATTTCCATGAAAAATAAGAGGACAAAACCAAAGTGGGTTTAATACTTTGGGGTGTAAATAGAAGCATACATGCAGCATATAATAGTGTGTATACACCTTGGTGTGTTGTCTAATTTTTTTTATTTTTTTTTTTTTTTTTTTTTTGTTTTGGAACTCAGTCTAGTTAGTTAATTTGTTGTTATGTTTTGGGACTTTTACAAGTTGAATGACTTGTACTAAATAATGTGGATATGAAAGAAAAAAAAAAGATTTGTGGTTTTATATAGGGTGAAATACCAATAAATCTCAAAATATGATCTTGTAAGTCATTCCTTTTTTCTCATGTACCTAAATGTCCCATTAAAGTGAAAATTACACAAAAAAATAGTCACTTACATGTGTGGGTTTAATTTTTAGGGATAAAAGTGGGTTTCTTCAAATGTAAAATTACACATTTAGACAATCTGTACTATAGAAATTTTGAATTTTTCCTCCTTCTGGAACAAATCTCACATTACAAACAAAAACATAACACTCTAATAATATAACACTCCAATGTAACACACTGAAAAATTCATTGGTGTACTTTTCTCAAATGTAATAACGTAACACTCAAAAAAAATTTCATCATGTACTTTTTCTCAAATATAACCCTCTAATATGACACAATCGTAACATTCTAATGTAACATATTCCAATCAACGTAACACTCCATTGTAACATGCTTCAATGTAACACACACAAAAATACTAAAAATTCCTTAGTGTACTTTTTCCAAACGTAACACTCATATTTTGAAATTATACATTTGTTCAAAACTTACTAATGAATTTTGCACTCCTTTTAGAATGGTTTAAAAAATCTCACATTCTTTTTTTGGAGTGTTACATTGGAGTTTGAGAAAAGTACACTAAGGAGTTTTTTTTTATGTTATATTAAAGTGTTATAGCAAAGATTTTTTTTTAATGCTATATTGGAGTGCTACGTTTAGAAAAAGTATACTAAAGAGTTTTTTTTGTGTGTTACATTAAAGTATTACACTAAAGAGTTTTTTTGTGTGTTACATTAGAGTGTTATATTAAGA